TTGTTGTTTGGCGGGTCCGGGCTGGGGATTCGAACCCGCCACCTTAGGTGTACATGGCTGGCGCCTTAGCCGGTTGAGCTATAGGCGTCGAGCCCCAAATTATATTTTTCTAGTGATAATCTGTCTAATAGCTATAACAGGGAATAAAAATACTTCAGGTATTCTTTCAGATGAATACAGAAGGCATAAAAAGCTGAGTTTTGAGTAGCCCCTAAGATTAAGAGACTCCAAAATATGTAGAGAAGTTTTTCAGAAAGATGATGCAACATAAATTTGTTACATGCGAATAAAAATCTCTGAAAATTTCATAGATTTTCTGAAAAATCTATGAAAATTTACGATTTTCATAACTCGGTGATTAAAACCCAGGTGCAGGGTATGTCACTTATGTTGATGATAAACTGAGAAAAACTGGCATAAACAGAATCATTAACAACTCCATTACATTGAGGTGACAATATCTAAAACTATCTCTGGAGCTATTACTGTATCAATTATCCTTTCTGTTATCTTACAAAGAAAAAATTGATACACAGGTACAGTAAATTGAAGAGAAAAAAGAAAAATTATTTACCCTTGGTTTTGCTAGGTCTTTAACAATTTCAATTTCTGCATCAGAAATAATATCATGGAAGCGAATAATACGAGGCTTGTCCCATTCATCCTCCTGTTTGGCTGGAGCCAGAATAAATTTAGGATTCCGATTTCCATCATGGTAGCGACAAAAGAGTTTTTTTTGTCTCCGAGGAGTCTAAACATGAAGTGAAAAATATATATATATATTAATGTTTTTACATATTTATCTTTTTTATTATTATTTCAGGTTAATTTGAGGAAAGAGTAAAATAACCAAATACTTTTAATTCTAGTAACAAAGAATAAGGTTACAACATTTGCATTTGTTAAGTAGAGTCCCTCTTATAATTGTGTATTTATTTATCTTTTAAGAAACAAAGTCTTGCTGTTGTTAAAGCTGGAGTGCAGTAGTGCAATCATAGCTAACTACAACCATGGGATCCTCCTGCCTCAGACTCACAAGAGCTGGGATTACAGGAGCAAACCACTGCATGCCTAGCAGTATTTTTAATAACTATTTCTACACAGATAAGAAATAATAATCATGTTTGCATATACCCTAAGAGTATCTCTGGAAGAATACACAAAAGCAGCAGTACTCTGCAAATATTTTGCATCAAATAGGACCTTCGGGATTTTAAAAATTTTATTAATGATTATTTTCTGAAGAAGATGGGAGAAGGCCTTTATTAAAAAAAAAGGTAGAGTTTCTCTTTTAATCCTTCTCTTCTCAAAATAAAGTTCAGCTGTTATAAAGATGAAAGAAACAATGAAATGTTTATGTAATATTAAATAAATGCCTAGCATTGCTCTGAACTTCACAAAGTAACTGGGAAGCAACCAGAAAGAAAGTTTCCAAAAGGAAAAACCAAACAAAGTTTTCTTAAATACCTCACAGTTAAATGCTCGTGGGGAAAAAAAAAAAGCTGGGAAAAGTAGCTCACGCATGTAATCCTAGCAGTCCAGAAGGCTGTGGCAGGAGGATCACCAGATCAGCCTGAGCAAGAATGAGACCTCATCTCTACTAAAAATAAAAATTAAAAAACTAGACAGGCATTATGGTGGGTGTCTATAGTCCCAACTATACAGAAGACTGAGGCAGGAGAACAGTTTGAACCCAGGAGTTTGAGGTTGCTGTGAGCTAGGCTAATGCCATGGAACTCTAGTCTGGAGCAACAGAGTGAGACTTTGTCTCAAAGAAAAAAGACTTTTTTATGAAAATGAGTACCTCTAAAAAAGAGAAGGTTAAGTTATAAAACAAAAAAGCCAAATACTTTTACTAGGGGGTATAAAAAGAGCAGTCAGCAAAACACATAAATTCCCTTCAATCATCTAAGTATTATATTAATAAGTTATCTCACTGCTAATTCTTTGTTGCTATTGTTGTTGTTGCAGTTTGGCCAGGGTCAGGTTTGAACCCACCGCCCTCAGTATATGGCGCTGGCGCCCTACCCACTGAGCCATGGGCGCCACCCTATCTAATATCTTTTATGTAATGAAATAAATTTAAATATTCTTTTTTTTTTTGAAACAGAGTTTCAAGCTGTTGCCCTGGGTAGAGTGCAGTGCATCACAGCTCACAGCAAACTCAAACTCTTGGGCTTAAGAGATTCTCTTGCCTCAATCTCCCAAGTAGCTGGGACTACAGGCACCCGCCACAAAGCCCAGCTATTTTTTGATCATAGTTGTCACTGTTTGGCAAGCCCAGGCTGGATTCGAACCCGCTAGCTCCGGTGTATGTGGCTGGTGCCCTAGCCGCCAAAACGAATTTAAATATTCTGAGAAGAATGCAGAGTTGACATGTATATGTCATATCAATAAACTGGCAAATTTGCAGACTCCTGTTTCATTTTGTTCTTTTCTGTAAGAGTTACTAAGGACCATAAGAAAACCTGCTTACTACTGGAAATGTGAATACTAACTAGATATTTGGTGATATTATGAAACTACCGTGTAATTTTTTAGTCATGATAATGGAATTGTAGTTAATGTGAGATTTTTTTGTTTTGTTTTGTTTTTGAGACAGAGCCTCAAGCTGATCCCCCCGGGTAGAGTGCCATGGCATCACAGCTCATGGCAACCTCCAACTCCTGGACTCAAGCCATTCTCCTGTCTCAGTCTCCCAAGCAGCTGGGACCACAAGCACCCACCCCAATGCCCGGCTATTTTTTGGTTGCAGCCGTCATTGTTGTTTGACGGGCCGGGGCTGGATTCTAACCCGCCACCTTAGGTGTATGTAGGCTGGCACCTTAGCCACTTGAGCCACAGGCACCGAGCCAATGTGAGTTCTTTATTTTTTTTCTAGTCAAGTTCTTATATTTAAAAAATACTTAGGGTGGCGCCTGTGGCTCGGAGTAAGGTGCCACCCCGTATGCCAGAGGTGGTGGGTTCAAACCTAGCCCTGGCCAAAAACTAGAAAAAATAAAATAAATAAATAAATAAAAAGTACTTACTAAAATATTTAGAAATAAAATTACAAAAGAAAATGTTTATAGAGTCCAACAAAGTATCACTATCCTTGTATTTACTCATTAGCTCCCAAAGTAAAAGCATGCATAGCCTCCTAAGACTCCATGAACCTAGCTATCAAAAGTGTCAACATAGATATGATATACTTACTTGTTAGTGGTTAAGCTGCTAATAGTCATCAATATCAAAATGTAAAGTCCAGTTTTAGTTTATTAGCAATAAAGTAAAATTTAAATACTTTCCCAATATTTACATTAAATCATCTGCTCTAAAAATTCACTAACTCCTTCTATGCATGCCTGTGTTCAGTTGGACACTAGTAACACATGATATTCCTTTCTTTAAAAAAAACTTTTTTTTTTTTTTTTTTTGGGCAGAGCCTCAATCTGTCCTCCTGGGTAGAGTGCCATGGCATCACAGCTCACAGCAACCTCCAACTCCTGGGCTCAAGAGAGTCTCCTGCCTCAGCCTCCCAAGTAGCTGGGACCACAGGCGCCCACCACAACACCCAGGTATTTTTTGCTTGCAGCCATCATTGTTGTTTGGCGGGTCCAGGCTGGATTTGAACCCGCCACCTTGGGTGTATGTGGCTGGCGCCTCAGCCACTTGAGCCACAGGCACCGAGTCTTTAAAAGAAACTTTTAAAGGCCAGGTGCGGTGGCTCACATTTGTAATCCCAGCACTTTGGGAGGCTGAGGCAGGTGGACTGCCTGAGCTCACAGGTTCAACCAGCCTGAGCCAGAGGGAAACCCCAATCTCTAAAAATAGCTGGGCATTGCGGCAGTTATCTATAGTCCCAGCTACTTGGGAGACTGAGGCAAGAGGATTGCTTGAGCCTAAGAGTTTGAGGTTGCTATGAGCTATGGTGCTACAGCACTTTACTGAGGGCAAAAGTGAGACTCTATCTCAAAAAAAGAGAAAAGAATAAATAAATAAATAAATAAACAAACAAACTTGTAAAAGTTTCCAAATCAATACTAGAAGATAATGTATATCATATGCATAATGCACATTATCATAAAAAGGCTCTGAGAAGGGCATAGGCTAAACAAAAAACTATTTTCAAATTTGTTTAACAAATCTTTCCAAGACTATGATCCTTTTTTATGGCCTAGTATCTATTAACATCCCGAAGGATTCTGAGTGATAAATACATATATATAAATATATAATAAATAAAAAAAATTATAGATATATTTGGGTCTTTTATTATTTATTCATTTGAGACAAGATTCTCACTTGGTCACCCTTGGTAGAATGCTATAGCATCACAGCTCACAGAAACCTCAAACTCTTGGGCTCAAGTGATCCTCTTGCCTCAGTCTCCCAAGTAGCTGAGACTACAGGTGCCTGCCATAATGCCCAGCTGTTTTTAGAGATGGGTCTCGCTGTAGCTCAGCCTGGTCTCGAACTCATAAGCTCAGGCAATCCACCCACCTCATCTTCCCAGAGTGCTGCGATTACAGGGGTGAGCCACGATGCCCGGCCCCCATATTTGGGCCTTTTAAAGAATAATTCTTGGCTGAGCATGGTGGCTCATGCCTGTAATCCCAGTATTTGGGGAGACTGAGATGGGAGAATTGCTTGAGGCTGGGAGTTTCAGACCAGGTTACCCACTGTCTGCAACACTTGATTTGTTGGAGCTTCTACCTGTTGCACGCACGTGCATAGGCTACGAATCAAATAAATGATTTAAACAATTAAAAAAAGAAACATAGTGAGACTCCATCTCTAAAAACAAACAAAAAAAGCCACCATGACAATCCAGAGTAACATCCTTTCTCTAAACAAATGAATAAAATAAAATAAATGTTAAAGACAAACTCTGTTGAAAGTCTTTCTGCATTTTGAGTTTTTTAATATAAACTAAAACATTTCATTAATTTCACCAACCAATCTTATCAAATTACTAGAAGCAATAATATAAGATTATTATACAGATGAATCTGTTATGTCTCATAAAATAAGTTTCTGACCTAAGATTACTGATATCTTTTTTACATTAAGTATAAGAAAAATAATCACTTCCCACAAACATATATGATCCTTCACGCTTGAAAATAACTCTTTTTAAGTGGTGGCTCATGTCTGTAATCCTAACATTTTGGGAGGCCAAAAAGGACTACTTGAGCTCAGAAGTTTGAGACTAGCCTGAGCAAGAATGAGACCCCATCTCTGCTAAAAATAGAAAAACTAGCTGGATATTGTGGTGGGCCCCTGCAGTTCCAGCTACTTAGGAGGCAGAGGGAAGAGGATCACTTGAACCCAAGAGTTTGAGGCTGCTGTGAGCTATGATGCCATAGCATTCTACCTAGGGTGACAGAGTGAGACTCTGTCTCAAAAAAAAAAAAAGAAAAGAAAAGAAAAGAAAAAGAAAAAAAAAAGAACCTTTTTTTGAGGTTACCTACAAAACCTACAAAAAGGGTAATATTACCACAAATGCATACAATAGTACACAATTTTCAAGCTTTATCTTCAAGCTGTTTTACTAATAATTGGAACATAGTAAGTGTGACACCCATACTCATATAATGTGGCATACTGTAATATTTTATGTACTCATTCTGATTTTGATCACATAGGCTTAAATATAAATGAACCCTAATTCTCTCTAAAACTAGGTACAAATACATACACACGCACACACACGATTGGCTTTTCCACTTTACCATTTTGATACCCTCCCCACGGCACAGCATTTCGTACTTCTGTCTCTCTGGCAGGTAATCCACAGCAACCCCTTTTTTCTTTGGTGTGGTTTTCTGATCAGATTGGTCATCTGAAGAAGACTTATTGACATCTTTTTCTTTAGCCATTATATACTCAAAATATTTTAAATTACCATTAGCTCTCTGATGTTCAGGATCTATTAGAAGAGAAAGAAAACATGTCCATGCGGAAAGTTACACTTGGTTAAGCATCAGAATACAGTGATATAAAAATAAGAGACCATATAATTTATCTTCCAAAACAGCTTGCTTTTATGAAATGAATCACTAATAATAAGTGTACCAAACAAGAGGTAATGCTCTCATGTAAATCAGGACCTATAGTCACCCTATGTAAAAACAGTTCTGGAGATGAAAGCAGCCATTTATTTCAAGGTAGCATATTAGTGATTTAATAATCAGCCAAAGGAACTATGTTCAATTGATGTCAAATGAATTTTAAAATCTTACTCATTCTACTTATTTTAAGCAATGGAAAAGGTTTTCCTAAGACTGAAAAATACTCATCATGGGGAAAACTGGGCATATTCATCATGGGAAAAACCGGTTGAAAAGCAACCCTTGGGCAGCACCTGTGGCTCAGTGAGTAGGGCACCGGCCCCATATACCGAGGGTGGTGGGTTCAAACCCAGCCCCGGCCAAACTGCAACAAAAAAATAGCTGGGCATTGTGGCAGGCACCTGTAATCCCAGCTACTCAGGAGGCTGAGGCAAGAGAATCACCTAAGCCCAAGAACTGGAGGTTGCTGTGAGCTGTGATGCTACAGCACTCTACCGAGGGCAATAAAGTGAAACTCTGGCTCTAAAAAAAAAGGAAAAGAAAAGCAACCCTTACCACAAATGCATTATATATGTAGCCTACTTCTGAGGACTGAACAAATTTTAATCCCAAATTTCTAGGTAAGAAAGAAAAGGGAAATTAAGGTATGATTTTCAAAAAAGCTAGACTCCACTAAATCCCTCAGAATTGCTAGTCATAATTTTTAACTACCTTTTACTAGGGGAAAAGAGGACTACACTGCCAATCTGGGAGGAAAAAAATCCAAACACCTACACCATAAACAAATAAAAAAGGCAGAATAGTATGTAGAAACTTTACTTGTGGCAGTAACTGTTTAAGAAATTTAGCCCTATACTATAAAATATTTCTTGTCCTTTAAAAACTGCTCACAATGTATGTTATGATATACAACATAAGCCTAATCTTACAAAATAAAGAGAAAAGAGTGTATGTGAGTAGGGCAGTAGTATACTATAAGGAAACAAAAACGTATAAGTTGTCTTTGAATGACTGGCTTATGAATGATTCTGTATCTTTAACTGTGTTAACAAATTTTTTAGAATGAATACAAAATAGGTATTTTTACATCAGGAGAAAAAATAACTGGAAAATACTGAAAGGATGAAAAAGGCTATTTGAACTAATACGTTAATTTATTAATTCATCCAACTAAAAAATAAACCAATTACCCAAAGTTCATTTTCAGATGATCAATCCTTTTGAGCTGTTTGACTCTCCTAACATAACATATTTTCCTATTCATAAAAACAATTAATTTGGGGGCTGGGTGTGGTGGCTCACACCTGTAATCCTAGTACTCTGGGAGGTTGAGGCAGGAGGATCACTTGAGCTCAGAAATTCAAGATCAGCCTGAGCAAGAGCAAGACCCTATCTCTATTAAAAACAGAAAACTGAAGTGGGCATTGTGGTGGGCGCCTGTAGTCCCAGCTACTCAGGAGGCTGAGACAGGAGGATTGCCTGAACCCAGGAGTTTTGAGGTTGCTATGAGCTAGACTGATGCTACACTACTCTAGTGAGACTGTCTTAAAAAATGATAATAATTAACTTTTTAAAGTTTTTAAAGCTTCATTATATACCAAAGGCCACCCGAACTTATTGTCATATAAATTCTGAGCTCCATCTCCAGAGATTATGATTTAATAATCTAACGTATAGATCAAGGAATTTTCATTTCTAAGAAGTATCCAAATAATTCTGATGCATGTGGTCCTTAGACCATACCTGAAGAAACAACTACCTTCTCTATTCAAAGTAATAGTGATAAAATTCCCTCATAAGGCATTACATTTTACTAACATTTAATATGACAATCAAACATATTTTCAGTTCATTTTAAATCACTTTATATTTCAGTATAAAATGCAATAAACCAAAACATCCTTTAAATGAAACTGATTAACATTTGAAACAAACATTTTTGGCTAAGTTAGCTAGGTTAGGTTTTGAAATTCCTGGAGAACACAAAGCAGAGAAACACAGCCGCTGGGTACTACTTGGTAAGAAAAATCAGTTCTCAATGGTCCTGACAATAAACAGGAATAGGATAAAGTATGTTAGACAGATAAGGTTCTTGACTTCTAACAAATGAAAAGTACCAAAGGTATATGGATAGGAACAGATAGATAATATATATATATATACCCCCTCGATATAAGTATAGATGTAAATTAGGCCCAGATAACATACCTAGTTCAAGAAGCTTCTTTGTGAGCAAAAGTGCCTTATCCAGGTCTCCCTGCTGGTATACTGCATAGCTCAAATAGTCCAGAACAGAGACTTTATCTATAGTAGAAACCTCGCCTTCATTCAGTTGCCTTAGTGCTTGTTCCATCCACAGTTCTGTATGGTAATAATCTGCTTCTGTATAAGCTACTTTGCCCAACTCAAAGCAATCCTCAGCTGTTAGAAAAGATTTGTGTTTTACTCCTATGAAAAGAAAATACAGAGAACTTTAGGAATCTTAACACTATTGCACATTTAAGACCACACAGCTTTCAAACTGCTCTTTTATTTGAACTTCATAATAATCTTGTGAGATAGGAAAAGCAAAAATTACCTTAACTTTATAAACAAAGGAACAATCTCTAAGGTAATGTAACATGACAAGAATGACACAAGTGGAAAGAGGGGATGTGGGACCTAGAAAACCTAAGACTTAATGATAACATTATAACAAATGAAACATCAATTAAGTTGAAATATACTGTTTTCTAACACAGTAGGAAGCACCACGTGATTCTATTTCACCCTGCACCAGTGGTTCTCAACCTTCCTAATGCTGCATTGTTAAAAAGGAGTCGTGACCCACAGGTTGAGAACTGCTGCCCTAAATAACACTCTAGGCATGAGATGGATGTACAGGAGAGAACAACCTATTAACTGGTTTCTTTCTTTCTTTTAAACAGCATTAATGACGTGTAATCTAAATACTATAAAGTTCTATAAAGTTCACCCATTTAAAGATTACAACAGTTCTGGTTGGGCACCCGTAACTTAGTGGTCAGGGCGCTGGCCACATGCACTGGGGCTGGTGGATTTGAACCCAGTTTGGGCCTGCTAAACAAACAAACAAACAAACAAACAAAAATATAGCTGGGCATTGTGGCAGATGCCTATAGTTCCAGCTACTAGGGAGACTGAGGCAAGAGAATTGCTTGAGCTCAAGAGTTTAAGGTTGCCATGAGCTGTCATGCTATGGCATTTTACTGAGGGTGACCAAGGGAAACTCTGTCTCAAAAAAAAAAAAAAAAAAAGATTACAACAGTTCTTAGTATAGTTACAGGGTTCTGCAACTATCACCACAATCTAATTTTAGAACTTTTTCATCACTCCAAAAGAAACCCTGTAACAATTAACAGTCACTACTTATTACCCCCATCCCACCCAACCCAAGATAACCACCAATCTACTTTCTGTCTCTATAGATTTGCTTATTCTGGACATTTAATACAAATGGAATCATACAATATGACTAGCCACTTTCATTCAACACAATGTTTTCAAGGTTTGTCCCTGTTGTAGTACCCTTCTTATTGTCCATTATATGAACAAACGAACAGACCACATTTTCTTTATCAGTTGATAGATATTTGGGTTGTTCCTTTTTTTTTTGCAGTTTTTGGCCAGGGCCGGGTTCAAACCCACCACCTCCGTTATATGGGGCTGGCACCCTACTCCTTTGAGGCACAGGTGTCGCCCTGGGTTGTTCCTTTTTCAAAAAATGTTTTGGCTTTTATGAATACTACTACTGGGAACATTTGTATACAAGTTTTTATGAGGACATGTTTGCAGTTCTCAAGTATATATGTAGCAGTGGAACTTCCGGGTCCTATGGCAACACTATGCTTAACATTTTGAGAAATTGCCAAACTTTTCCAAAGTGACTACACAAGTTTACAATCCCACCAGCAATGTCCATTTCTCCACATCCATGTCAATACTTATTATCCTTTTTTTTTTTTTGCTGTTTTTGGCCAGGGCTGGGTTTGAACCAGCCACCTCCGGCATATGGGGCTGGTATCCTACTCGTTTAAGCTACAGGCACTGCTAATTTTTTTTTTTTTTTTTTTGCAGTTTTTGGCCAGGGCTTGGGTTTGAATCCTCCACCTCCAGCATATGGGTTATTATCCTTTTTTATCAGAGACATTCTGGTAGGTATAAAGTGGCATTTTATTGTGGTTTTCCTTTCCATTTCCCTGAAGCATCTTTTCATGTGCCATTTGCCCATTTGTAGATCTTCCTTGGAAAATTGTTGGTTTACATCTTTTGCCCATTAAATGAATTTGGTTATTTGTATTTTCATTATTGATTTGTTAGTTTGTTGGCTTTTCTGAATATAAATCCCTTATCATTCACATGGTCTTATAGCATTTTTTCCCATTCCATGAGCTGTTTTTTCATTTTCCTGATGTTGTGCTTTGAAGCAGAATAACTATTAAGCATTTATTATTTGTGCTCTTGGTAGTAGTATGTCAACTGATTTCAAGAAAAGGAGGTATCTGACACTTCACACGTCATAAAATATAAATAGAAAACCAAAGAACTTGAAAAAACCACCATGATAGGCCGAGTGTGGTGGCTCATGCCTGTATTCCTAGCATTCTGGGAGGCTGAAGTGGGTGGATCACCTGAACTGAAGAGTTTGAGACCAGCCTTAGAAAGAACAAGCCCCATTTCTACTAAAAACAGTAAAACTAGATAGGCATTGTGGTGGGCACCTGTATTTCCAGATACTTGGGAGGCTGAGGTGAGAGATCTCTTGCGCCCAAGAGTTTGAGGCTGCTGTGAGCTATGCCATGGCACCCTACTGGAGCAACAAAGCCCAAGAGGATTTGGACCCTCAGCATCCAGGCCTCAGTTGACACCAGAGAAGGGAGGTGAAAAGGAAAGTTCTGGGTTGTTGCAGGAGCTGAAGGATAAGGTGGAGATGCTAGAGACAAACTCATGTTCCTTAACTATAAGGATATGGTCTATGGGTGCAGGAGCTCTTGACACTGCTGCCATGGCACTGTTTCTGGCCAACAATGATGTGTTTCTGTGTAAGCTACAGAAAGCAGTGCTAAGGTATTCAGAGGACATAGGCCTAAAAACAAAGGAGAAAGAACCAAGGACTTTCAAAGTAAAGGGAAAAGAATAGAGCTGTTGATTATGGCTGTGCAGAGGCCAGGCTATTTTCTCTGTCAAGAAGAGGCTGCAGACCTGCCCTCCCTGAAACCCCAAGTTGGATGAGCTAGGTGACTCTCTCCATGCAGTGGTGAAGGAGCAGATCAGGACTGAAGTAAAGGGCTTCCAACCTTATTTAAAAGGAGAAATCTTTCTGGATGAAAAAAAAAAGTTCCATGGTCCACAGGGCAGAGGATGATGTTTACGGAATTTATCCATCTAGGGGTGTGGTACCACTTCTTCTGCATGTGCAATGGAGCCTACTCTGAAAACCTGGAGGGTAAAGGCTTTATCTTCAGAGATTTTTTTGTGGTAGTATCAGGAAAATGGCATTCTTTTTGAGCACCAAGAAAAAGAAGTTGGTGACAAAGTAAACCCACTTTCTGGAAGCTATAAGGAAAATCAAGGCACAGACTTTGACCTCAGGGAAAAAAATGATTGCGTGAAATTGCCTAATGCAGGATGACTAGGAGCACTCACCAATGTTCTCAGATGTGTTTCCACTGTGTCCCTAAGGAGTTAGAAACCCACTTACACTGTGTTCTCATATTTACTGGCATATTTAACACTATCTTCTGTTTATGCCTAGTAACAAACAGCCCCAAAACAAACTTAACAAAAACCTAAGAAACCAGTTAAGGGTTATATTAGCTACAACCTGGAAAATATGAGGCTTAAAATTGACTGCTACACCTCATCACAAATGTATATACTATTTGAGTGCTGTTATCAGAATTTATTTTTATGTCTTCAAAACTGTAAGAAGAGTTGACTGACTAGATTGAGAATATAAAGTTTTTGAGTTTAATTGGTTCTATTAATAAGTTGTTATATAATTTCAAAGTAATATTCATATAAAAAAACTGATAAGCTCTAAATTAGTTTGATACGGATAAATTATAAAGGGAGCTCTCTTAGTTCACTGTGTTCCATTCTAACCCCAGAGCTTGTTTTTCTAGAAGAAATGATCTCCAGCTGTAATATAAAGAGATAATGGTAGAAATTTTTCTAAAATTAAACAAATGAAACTTCAGATTCAGGAAGCACAAAGAATCTCAAGCCATACAAATAAAGTACATGTAAGGGCTTCTTAAGGATATATTTCAAGAGGAAAATTCTAGAATGAAAGTCTGAGGACCAAGAAAGAATGATCAGGGCAGTGTCTGTGGCTCAAAGGAGTAAGGCACCGGCCCCATATGCCAGAGGTCGCCCAGCCCTGAGCCAAAAACTGAAAAAAAAAGAAAGAATGATCAACAAAGTGGTATACATATAAAGTAATCTAAATTAAAGAAAAGTGAATGGCTAAATTTTCAATGTTTGACATTTTTCTGGTGATGGTACAGGGAAATAGGAACTCTCATATATTGCTGATAGAAAGGCAAAATGATGTGAACTCCTGTGGAGGGTAATGGGACCATATAAGCAAAATTATCTGTTTATTTTCTCTTTGATGTAATGGCACCACTTCTAAAAAATATTCCAAAGATCACTTAGCAAAAATACGAAATGCTCTATGTATAAGGTTATTCACAGCACTATTTTTTTTTAACAACAAAAGACTGCAAACAAACCATATGTTTATCATAGGGGCCTAGTTAAACTGTGGAACTTCCACAAAATAGAGTAATACGCATCTGTAAAAAAAAAAAAAAAAAAAAAGAGGATTTCTATACATGATATAAAGTACTATCTGGGACACATCAATAAATTAAAGCACAAAAGTACAAAATGGTATTTGTAGGATGTAGCTTTTGGGTCTGTATTGAAAGGAAATAGGAATAAATATATAGTATATTATTATTTTATTTAAAAAAATTAGAAATGGAAAAATAAAATGGTTACATACAGGAAAAAGAAGGGAACAGGATGAAGAGTACAGGAAATCAAAGTGAGACATTTGTTAATATACCTTATTAGTATAGTTTGACTGTGAAAGAATATAAAAGTTTTGCATAATTAAAAACAATAGATCAAAAGAAAAAAGGAAAATCCCTAAAAAACAGGGGAAAAGATATTGAAATAAATGAACCTATCTGTGTAACATGATGAGAGAGAGCATAACCACACAGGCAACTGAATTACTTCACGTGTCTTTAAAACAGTATTTTGACTGATTGATATACTATGACATATTATAAGGGTAAAAAGTATTAAAACACTGCATTCAGTATTCTTAATGTTATTAATAGAAGAGTTACTACAATTTTGAAATATTTTAGGCATCATTAGGTCACTGGTTATTAGGAACCAAGATTTTTCAAAAGAAGAGAAAAGAGATTTAAGTATGAGTTCTGCAGTCTCAATCTGAATTAGAATAACAATATGAACTTACATATTTCTTATCTATGTTCATTGGGAAGATCTGGAATAAATGACAAACTCAAAAGCAATAAACACCCTTAAAACTTAGCTAGACTGCTGCTCAAATGCCATTCCTTGTTAAGAGGAATTAAGACACAACTAATGCAGTGGTATGCACCTGTAGCCACCACTCAGGAAGCTGAAGCAGAAGAATCACTTGAGCCCAGGAGTTCAAGGGTGTAGTGAGCTATGATCATACCTGTGAACAGCCAATGTACTCCAGCCTAAGCTACTTCCTTGCTATCAAAGAATAGTAAGATAAATTCAAAAAGACAAATGTGCTAATCTGTAAAAGTTCCCACTACCCTGAAATGAGATAACATAAGCATCAAAGAAATAACAATATAATGGATTGAAGTAAAAACATATATATAAATCCATGAATTCATAATACTTCAGATAAAAATCACTGGTCACTACTGAAAGTTGTTGTTAGGACATTAACTCATTACTCTGAAAACTGAAGAATAACAAAAAGAAAAATATAGGATAATTTTAGATTTATCTTATCTTTCCAATGTAAGCTATAGTTCAAGGTAACCAAACAGTTCATGAAGGACATTCTTGTTTCTAGAATTCTAGCTATCAAAAGTAATATAAAGTCAGGCATGGTGGCTCATGCTTGTAATCCTAGCACTCTGGAGGCCAAGGCAGGTGGATTGCTTAAGCTTATGAATTCAAGACCAGCCTGAGTAAGCACAAGACCCTGTCTCTAAAAAGTCAGGCATTGTGGTAGGTGCCTGTAGTCTTAGCTACCAGGGAGGCCGAGGCAAAAGGATCTCCTGAGCCCAAGAGTTTGAGGTTGCTGTGAGCTATAATGCCATGGCACTCACCTCCAGGGCAACTGAGTGTGAGACTCTTGTCTAAAAAAAAAGTAAAAAAGATGATGGAATGAGATAAATCACCAATTTGCAACCTCTAATGTTGTGCTGGTTCTAGGCAATGAACCACTCTGGCTACCAAAGGCTGCCAAAACCATTAGATGAACTCAAGAAGAACTTTACATGGGGAAATCAGGCTCTCACTGAGGCAAGAAAGAAAAAGCAGAACTATAAGAATCTATCCTAGCCGCTCTGTGTAGGCCTCAGCCAAGCCGCAGGTGTTTCTGCTGTCTGCGTGTTTCTCCCCTGACATACATGGGGCCTAGATTGTAACCTAGTAACTTCCTTGGGTTTCTGTTGCCTTTGGGGCAGGTGGTCCAACCACAAGGATGCAGGCGAATCTGACCTTCCCCCTTTGAGCCTGGGACCTTGAGGATGATGTCGTGTTTCTCTGTCTTATGACCCTCACGTGCACTCCCACCCTGAAAGGTGGATAAAAGAGAGGCAAGAGATTGGGGGGGGCGGCGGGGAACACGCTAGTGTTCCAAGTACCCCCGGCCAAATAAACCTGCTTCCTCTAATCAACTGATGCCTGGAGTCTTCTGTCTGCGTCAGTTTCCTGCTACATCACCACTTGAAGAGCCTGATTTATCAATGATATCACAAAAAGTTTGATAAGACACTAGATGTCAGTTCCTGCAGTTCAACACAGAGTTCATAGCGCCATCTATGGAGTTAATTAAAAACTTAGCTTAGATCTAATCGAGCCTCTACCTCTAATCAATTTGAAGGAAACACAGGCATTAAAGGAAAAAATTAACCACCAAAGAAGAAATCTGCTAACTCCAGAATGCAGCACAGACCATATAACCTGGTTTTCCCAAATAATCAATGTCATAAATAGAAAAAAAAGGAGCAGGGAATAAAAGAGATAAAACAAACAAATGCAACTGTAACAGAACATCTTTGGGATCACCAGAGAAATTGAATATTGACTTAGTATTAAGTTATAGTAAGAAAATACTGTCAATTCTGTTAGGCAGGTTAATAGTCAATGGGTATGTTATTTTTAAAAAAGACCTGATCATTTAGATATGCATATTGCAGTCTTTACAGATAAAATGATGTGATGGCTAGGATTTGCTCTTAAAATACTCCAACAAAAAGAAGGGGTGGTAAGAACAGATGAAGCTTCGTTATGGAAGCATGAGACTCATTATGTAATTATCTTTATTTTGTGTGTGTGTGTGTGTGTGTGTGATGTTTGACATTTTCCATAATAAAAGAAGTTTTATAAATAACAAAAAGAAGAAAATCCTGTCCTCTTGGGCTCTTTTTATGCCTTATAAAAGAAAACCACATAGTTCCCTTTCTGACACTAACAACAACAAAAAAATGACAAGTATGTTGGAAAAGAACAAATTATATGATAAATATTACTTACTTAAGAACACTTTACTTTGAATAATATAGTTCTGAGACTAAATCCATATCATATTAGAAGTCATGCTTCTAGAAGAATAAAGTGTTTAAAATAAACTATCAGTCTTTTTCCTAATAAAACAAGATATCACTAGCTGGATACTGTGGTGGTGCCTGTTATCCCAGCTACTTGGGAGGCTGAGGCAAGAGAATAGCTTAAGCCGAAGAGCTGGAAGTTGCTGTGAGCTGTGATGCCAAGGCACTCTTGACACTATGTCGAGGGTGACATAGTGAGACTCTTGTCTCAAAAAAAAAAAAAAATACC